TGCTGCTTGGCCTGCTGTGTTCATCCAGCCCTGCACCTTGTTGTCTCAGTGTTATCGCTGTTGCCTCACAGAACCAGGGACCTGGGTTTAATTCCAGCCTTGGGCAATTGTCTGTGTGGAGTTTCTACATTCTCCCTGTGTCTTTGTGGGTTTCCCACAGGAGCAATAAACACTAATTACCTTCACAGGAAGCCTTTTAACTGTCCCTGATTTTATCTCATTAATAGCGAGTAATATAGCTCAGAAAAATGCTGCGCCCAATGTTTGATCAAGAGATTTGATTGGCCCTTAGTTAGTGGAACGGTGATACTCCCGTGACTATAAGTCAGCAGCAAGTGCTCTGGGTTTCTATTCCTCAGCCCAGTTCACAATGGATTTTGTTTGGCTGAACATGTGTTTGGGTTTCAGCTTGGCCTCTGTGCATTCAATCACAGCAATGATATATTGGAGCCAAGGCCCTACAGCCCATGGGATCACAACTCAGTAAAAGAGTTAACAGCTCCACAAAAAGTAGAATAAACATTGCAGGAGAAATGTGATGACAGGAACGTTTTGCAAAAATAAGACCATAAGATGCAGGAAGCTTTAGTCCATGTGCCCATCGAGTCTGCTCCACCATTAAGTCACGGCTGATCTGTTTCTCAAACCCATTCTCCTGCCCTCTCCCCATAACTCTCAATCCCCTTACCAATCAAAAATCTATTTATCTCTGTCCTAAATACACTCAACGATTTGGCCTCATAGCCTTCTGTGGCAATGAGTTCTACAGATGCATCTCCCTCTCGCTGATGAAATTCTTCCTCATCTCAGTTCTAGCGTGTTGTGCCTTCACTCTGAGGCTGTGCTCTCGGTCCTAGTCTCTCCTACTAGTGGAAACAACTTCTCCCCGTCCGCTCTATGCAAGCCCCTCAGTATTCTTTTTTTCATTTATAGAATCCCTACAGTGTAGAAACAGGCCCTTTGGCCCAACAAGTCCACACCGACCCACAGAGCATCCAACTCATTCTGTATGTTTCAATCAGATTGCCCCTCATCCTTCTAAACTCCAATGAGTACAGACCCAGACTGCTCAACTGTTCCTCATTTGACAAGCACTTCATCCCTCGGATCATTCTTGTGAACCTCCTCTGGACCCCTCCAAGGCCACAGATCCTTCCTTAGATATGGGTCCAAAAATGCTCACCTTATTCCAAATGTGGTGTGACTGGAGCCTCATGTAGCCACTGCTGTACATCTCTGCTCTTGTATTCTAGCCGTTTTGAAATTAATGCTAACATTCCTAACTGCCAACTGAGTCTGCATGTTAACCTGAAGAGAAACCTGAGGACTCCAAATCCCTATGTGCTTCAGATTTCCAAAACCTTTCCCCATTTAGAAAATAGTCTATGCCTCTACTCTTCCTACCAAATTGTATAACCTCACACTTTCCAACATTGTGTTCCATCTGCCACTTCTTTTCCCACTCTCCTAGCCTGACCAAGTTGTGTGCAGCCTGTCCACCTATATTTGTTTCAGCTACAATCCTAACAATAATGCCCTGGGTTCCTTTGTCCAGATGGTTAATGCATAACGTGAATAGTTATAGTCCCAACAAAAACCCCAGTGGTTCTTCACTAATCACTGGCTGCCATCCTGAAAAAGACTGCTTTATCCTTACTCTCTGCCAGTTAGCCAGTCCTCTATCCATGCCAGGATCTTGCTCTAACACCATGGATTCTTATCTTATTTAGTAGCCTCCTATGCAGAACATTGTCAAAGACCTTCCAAAAATCCAAATCGATCATGCTTACTTGCTCTCCTTTGTCTAGCTTCCTTATCTCTCCTGAAAGAATTCTAACAAATTTATCAGGCACGACCGCCACTTGACAAAGCCATGCTGACTCAGCCCTATTGTACTACGCACTTCCAAGTACTCTGCAATCTCATCTTTCATAATGGACTCTAAAACCTTGCCAAGACTGAGATCAGGCTAACCAGCCTATAGTTTCCTGTCTTCTGCCTCCCTCCCTTCCGAACAGGGGTGTTACGTTAGCCACTTTCCAGTCCTCTGGCACCTTGCTTGATAGCAGTGATTCCTGAAAGATCACCACCAATGCCTCTATAGTCTCCTCCCCTTTAGAGCTCTGTGATGTAGTCCATCTGGTCTACATGACTTATACACCTTCAGACATTTCAGCTTCCCTAGCACCTTCTCTTTGATGATGGCCCCTGCACTCACCACTGCCCTCTGATTCTCTCAAAGTTCTGCTTTGCTGCTGGTGTCTTCCACCATGAAGACTGATGCAAAGTCCCTGTTCAGTTCCTCCACCATTTCTTTGTTCCCCATAACTACTTCTCCAGTCTCATTTTCCAGTGGTCCAATGACCACTCTTGCTTCTCTCCACCCTTTTAGATACCTAAAAATACTCTTGCAATCTTTTATATTCCTATCTCATATTTCATCTACTTCCTCTTTATTGCTTTTTTAGTTACTCTCTAGTGATTTTTAGGGCTTCCCAAGCTTTTTCTTTTGCTTTTATGCTGTTCCTGACTTCCTTTGTCACTCATGGTTGCCTTGCCCTCCCCTTAGCATGTTTTTTCTTCCTTGAGATGAATTTCTGCTGTGCCTCCCGAATTACCCCCAGAAACTCCTGCCATTGCTGCTCCACCATTTTTCCTGCTAGACTCCCCTTCCACTCAGCTCTGGCCAACTCCTCCCTCATGTCTTTGTAGTTATCTTCACTCTTCTCCCTCTCAAACCGCAGAGTGAATTCTATCATATTACAGTCATTGCCTCCTAGGGGTTCCTTCAGCTTAAGCTCCCTAATCAAGTCTGCTTCACTACACATAGACCTGGGATGTCATGTTGCATCTGCACAGGACATCGGTGAGGCCACTTTCAGAATACTACGTACAAATCTGGTTGTCCTTCTATAGGAAAGATGTTGTTGAACTTGAAAGGGTGCAGAAAAGATTTACAAGGATGATGCCAGTAGTGGAGAATTTGAGTGATAGGGAGAGGCTGAATAGACCGGGGCTATTTTCCCCGGAATGTCGGAGGCTGTGGGGTAACCTTATAGAGGTTTATAAAATCATGAGGGGCATGGACAGGGTGAATAGCCAAGGTCTTTCTCCTAGGGTGGGGAGTCCAAACCTAGGGGGCATAGGTTTAGGGTGAGAGGGAAAAGATTTAAAAAGGACCTAAGGGACAATGTTTTCACACAGAGCGCGGTGGAATGAGCTGCCAGAGGAAGTGGTGGAGGCTGGTACAATTACGACATTTATAAAACATCTGGATGGGTATATGAATAGGAAGGGATTAAGAGGGATATGGGTCAAATGCTGGCAAATGGGACTAGGTCAGTTTGGGATGTCTGGTCAGCACGGATGAGTTGGACCGAAGGATCTGTTTCTGTGCTGTATGGCTCTAATTTCCTTGTGGGCTCTACTAGAAGCTGCTCCCAAAAAAAACACAAATCTCAGCCATTCCACAAATCGGGATCTGCTACCAACCTGATTTTCCTCGTCCACCTACATATCAAAGTCCTCCATGATTACACACCTTGTCTACCTCCTCATTTTATTTTCTTCCCCACATCCTGACTACTGCTAGGAGGCCTGTACACAACTCCTATCAGGGTCTTTTTTCCTTTGCGGTTCCTCAATTCTAGCCACACAGATTCTACACTTTCTGACTCTATATCACTTCTTGCTATCGATTTAATTTCATTTCTTGTTAACAAGGCAACCATGTCCCCCTCTGTCTGTCCTCTCAGTAGGATGTGTATCCTTGGATATTTAGTTCCCAGCCCTGATCCAGTCAGTCACATCTGTGATACCCACAACATCGTACCTGCCAATTTCAATCTGTGCCATTAGCTCATTTACCTTATTTCACATTTTGTGCAAATTGGAATTGTTTTAATAATATTTAATGGATTTTAAATATTCTGTCCGCTATAGTGTACTATAAATCTTTACTTCCTCCTTCATCCCATCCTATAAACCCCACTTTCTTTAGCATGTCTCCAACAGTTCATTCAGGTACTTAAATAATACCTTCCAAAGCAGTTTTCATTCTCCATCCATAGGTAGCAAGATTTGTGTTTAATAGTTAGGGTACGGAAGGCACTGCCTGGAAATGTGGTGGAGGGAGATTAAATTGAGGCATTCAAAAGCACATTTGAGAATTACTGAATAGAGTTTAGAGAGCAGGGATACAGGGAAAAGGCAGGAGATTGACACCAGTTAACAGAACTAGTGCAGGCATAATGGGCCAAAAGGTCTCTTTCCGTGTTGTAACCATTGTGATTAATAATGGAGTCATTTCTGTGATGGTTGCGATAAATCAGGATAATCGGTATATGACAATGGAACAAATTAATATTCAATAAGTCAGTTTGACTTCAATGACACAATACACAGAATTTACCAATGGTGTCTGTTTTATTTCCAGCATTGGCTTATTAATACATACAGCATAATCAGAATGGATTTATCTCATTGTCCATGCCACTTATCTTTTCATTCCATGACACCACCACCAATCTAGTCCCTTCATACAGGAACGCTGGCATTGTTAAACACTGCAGAAACAGACCAAGGTACAACTTAACTCAGTGCCAATTTCTGAAGCAAAAAACTGAAAGGATGGAGTTGAAAAATGATAAAATAAATGAGTAACTACATCAGATTATATTTTGAAAGCTGTACAATGGCAGTAACATTAATTGACCATTTTGAACAAAGTTGGCAGAACATTGTTGCCATTTATTTACAAAACCAGGGGTGTAAGCTGGAACAGACATTTTTCGTTGAAATACTTTGCTCACTCCACCGATAACTAAGATGACCCATTCGCTGAAGCTTCCTGGGTTGATGTTACTGAGTTATACCACATTGCAATATTGTCTGGTTTTGCTCTTTCTCTCCCTACTCTCATGATCTATATTGTGAGGTACACTTAGGGGTTCTCCCTTCACCCTTCTCTGGCTCATGCAAACAAACATTTCTTGAGAGACTAAACAGTCAATTCAAACGTACAATCTAGAAGAGACAGGTGAAAACAATGCTGAAAATGGTTGTACACTTGGTGTGACATCCTCTGTAGTTGTACAGTTGCCACTAAATGAATAGTGGCCAATTACTTAAGGAGCCAGAGACCCCACCCAGGAAATATTCCAGTCAAAACCAGCAGCTTCAACAGAAAGTGTGTTAATGGTACATATTTTAAAAAAAAAAATGAAACCCCAAACATAAGTAGTGCAAAATTGTGGCAAAAAATTGTGTGGGGGAACTATCGGATTACTGTTACATTATGGACATCCACGTTTAAGTCAGTTTTGGCTGGGTAAACAACCTTCAGGTTCCCTTCTGCATCCACAACCCGCACTTGTCTCACTATCAGTTCAGGACTGGTCATCATAATCGCGGGCAGATCCACAGCTTCTGGTTGGTCTTCAGTTAGGTCTTTAGTCACTTCAGCCACATCATCAGATACAAACTCCTGCTCCTTGTTTTCGAAGGTGAACTTGTTCAGTTCTGCCATTCGCTGTTATTAAAAACAAGAATGTCATGGCTAATATACATCTGCCGCGTGCTGACAAGTAACATCTCAAAAAGTCTACTAAATTAGACCTAAACCACTCCAAATTGTTCTCAGATATGGAAACATTTCACCAAGCAAAACAAGAAACACACAAATAAGGTTGGAACTTTTTTGCATGTAACTTTTCAGTAAGGTCTGCACTATATAAATAGAATGTATTAAACAAATCAATTAATCACAATATGAAACAGAACCTTATTTTATCATTTCCCTCTTAATAGGGGTATTAAAGCCAATAAAGCTAACCCCTACCATCACATTGACTGTACTCAGCCTTGAGTGAATAGAACCTAGGGTCATATCAGATGGTAAAACTGAGGTTTTCGAGGAAGCAAGAAGATCAGAGCTGTCTGTGTCTTCCTAACTTACATTATACATTTTTAATTGCCTCATCCATGGGATCAGTGACATTAACACTGCAGCATGATCACAACTGATCCCTTTTCATACACCAGTGACAGTGGAGACAGATTCTTCCGTTTCCTGAAACACTCATGAAGAGTAACTGGGAATCAGTCTTTTAAAGCAGTAACTTAGTCACAATATTCCAAAACACAGTGAGCTTAGGGCAGGGCTTGTCTATCATTCAAAAGATCCTGAGAAAGAAAAAATAGATGAAAACTGGGAGAAAAAAATATCTATTGTTGCTTCACATGTGCATCTGCTTTTAAAGGAAACCTTCACAATTCTGGTTTGAGTTGCTTTGCCTCCCCTCTAGGGATAATTATATGTATGATTCAAAACTAGCCAGGAGCAAATCAAGACTCTGATATTCAGAAAACAGGCATACTCATCAGAAAAAGGAAAGGATAGTCAGAAATGATGAGTGCGATAGGACAAAACAAGGCAGAGAATATTTTTAAAGAATTGACTTCTCTCTATTTTATCAAGTTCATGCTTCTTCCAACAAGCAATGTTTGCCAGTGGTGTCAGTCACAGTCTGAACATTCTACAAACAGAGCTGAGAAATCTTGCTGGTAGAACAGTCTGTCCCCGTTTCTACACTCATTTCCAAAGCCAGGTACAGCTGGCCAGAGCTAGTAGTGAAGTTACACATTTCATAGCTAGTCATAACCATCAGTTGTTATGACACCAATTTAGAGGATAATCGGAAGTCAAATGGGAAGGACCTAGCCTCCAATGACAAGGTGACATTTCCAAGACACAAGGGCAAGCCAACTCTGAAATAGTATGAAATTTAGTCTAAGCATGAGATCACCGAGTCTGCCATGGAGCATTGGTCTAGTTCCAATCTTCATTGCTGTGAAGCATCATCATGGAGCTAGCTCCATCCACCCCCAAGAATACAGACCTATTGTTCCATTAAACATGGGAGTGCACTGACACCATCCTTTCGGCTCCCGTGAATAAACATCACATCTCACTGAACCGTAAATTCAGTTCGATCTGCAGCTTCAGTGTGAGCTACTTGCTTCTCTACAATAATAGCAGGCACTGAAACCTATATCAATGAGCTCCTTTTTTAAAGTTTACTCATGGGATGTTGCTGGCTGGCCAGCATTTATTGCCTGTTCCCAGCTGCCTTTAAACAAAGTGGCTTGCTAGGCCATTTCAGAGGATAGTCAACCACATAGCTGTGGGTCTGGAGTCACATGTCAGCTCTAACCAGGTAAAAATGGCAGATTTCCTTCCCTGAAGGATATTAATGAACGAGATGAATTTTCCCTACGATCGACAATGGTTTCATAGTCATCAGTAGATTCTTAACTCCAGACTTTTTTTGATTGAATTTGAATTCCATCTGCTGTGGCAGGATTTGAACCAGGGTTCCCAGGACATTAGCTGCACTTCTGGATTAATAGTCTAGCGATAATACCACTAGCCATCACCTCCCCAACTACGTGGGCCAGAACCTCTTTCTGGATTGTAGCTGTCACTTATACTAGTGGAGTGTCACAATTATTTATAATGTATGTTAACGACTTGGATGAGGAAAGTGAATGTACTATTGGCACGTTTGTGGATGACAAAAATAGGTGGGAAGGCAAGTTAGGAGGATGACCATTCATCAGCAGACAGATATAGACAGATTAAGCAAAACTTAGCACATGGCATATAATGTGAGAAAATGTGAGATGAAGCACTCTGGCTGAAAGAATAGAGGAGCTAAACAATATTGAAGTGGAGAAAGACTCCAGAAAGCTATAGCACAGAGCAACTTGAGAGTCCTTGTCCATAAATCACAGAAAACTAGCTTACACGTTTGGTAGGTAAATAGAAGGCAAATGGAATGTTGGTCTTTACTTCAAATGGACTAGAGTATGAAAATAGAAAAAGTCTTGCTAAAACGATACACGGCTCTGGTCAGACCACAGCTAGAATACTGTGAACGGTTTCTAAGGAAAAATATACTGGCATTGGAAGCAGTCCAGACAATGTTCATGAGGTTGAATCCGGGTTCGGAGGTACTGTCTTAAGTGGAGACATTGAGCAGATTGGCCTGTGCTCATTGGAATTTAGAAGAATGAGCGATGACTTTATTGAAACATGCAAGATTCTTAGGGGTCTTGACAGAGGAGATGTGGAGAACTGGATGTTTCCCTCATTGGGAGAGTCTAGGACCAGAGGGCATCACTTCAGAAAAAGGAGTCACTCATTTAAGACCGAGATGAGGAGGAATTTCTTCTCTCAAAGGGAAGGGAATCTGTCATATTCTTCAGTGCAAAGGGGGTGGGTGGTCTTTTCCCTAGGGTGAGGGAATTGAAAATTAGGGGGCATATTTTTAAGGTGAGAAGAGAAAGATTTAAAAAGGGACCTGAGGGGCAACTTTTTCATATTGAGGGTGGTGCACTTTTTTTTTTCTTTATTCATTCACGGGATGAGGCGTTGCTGGCTAGGTAGCATCTATTGCCCGTCCCTAATTGCCCAGAGAGCAGTTAAGAGTCAACCACATTGCTGTGGGTCTGGAGTCACATGTAGGCCAGACCAGGTGAGGATGGCAGTTTCCTTCCCTAAAGGACATTAGTGAACCAGATGGGTTTTTCCTGACAATCGACAATGGATTCATGGTCATCATTAGATTCTTAATTCCAGATATTTTTATTGAATTCAAATTCCACCATCTGCCATGGCAGGATTCGAGCCCAGGTCCTCAGAACATTATCTGGGTCTCTGGATCAACAGTCTAGTGATAATACCACTAGGCCATCACCTCCCCTATATGTGGAATAAACCGCCAGAGGTAGATGCAGGTACAGTAACAATACTTAAAAGAATTTTGACACATACATGGATAGAAAAGGTTTAGAGGGATATGGACCAAATGCAGGGAAATGGGACTAGTTTAGTTTAGAAAACTTGACTGGCAGGGACGAGTTGAATCAAAAGGTCTGTTTCCATGCTGTACGGCTCTATGACTGTTGAAGTTGGGTCATTAAGTATATTCAAGGCTGAGATAGACAGATTTTTAATCAATAAGGGAATCAATAGTTATGGGCAAAAGGCAGGAAAGTGGAGTTGAGAATGATCAGAGCAGCCATCATCTCACTGAATGATGGAGCAGACTCAATGGGCTGAATGGCTTCCACATCTTATGGTCTTCACAATTTCAACAGTTATCTACTGAGCATTACCTTCAATGTAGTGACTATCTGTGAAAGACAGCTTGTAACTGGCATAGGTATTCTGCTGCTGGGTGGGGGAGTCACAATAGTGAAGGGATAGGCACAGACACAGAAGCTATAAGGTGGGCACTTGTAGTGTCACATCACTTCTTTTGCCATGCTTCACTGGTGGCAATGCAGTACAGTGAAAAGTAAAAAAAATGACTCCAAACTAAATCAGAAGAGTAAGTGGGAGTACCACAGGAAATCAATTGGGTTTGTCGATTTGACAGTCTACTATTATGCATAATATACAAGTACATGAATAAGAAATGTTTGGAGGGATATGGGCCACGTACAGGCAGGTGGGACTAGTTTAATTTGGGATTATGGTCAGCGTTGACAAATTGGACCGAAGTGTCTGTTTCCATGCTGTAATATTCTATGACTATCAAATGAGTTGTGTTGTTTTTATAAAGTTTGTGTTAATCAATCTTCCACGACATGCCACACACAGCAGTTAATGCACTATTTTCTAAGAGAATGTTTCCTCAGGCCCCAATTTCTTTCAAGTGATTTACTTATATGAAAGGAACAACTTGCTCAGTGAGAGGATGATCCCATGAACAGGTTTGTTCTGCCAGATGTTGGGAAAATAAACTGTTTTTATTTTATTCTTTCATGGGCATAGTGATCAGTCCAAAATGTGATGCATTAGATAACACAAACGCTACAGAATGTAACCTTTTACAATTGCCTAAATGTGTAGTTTGGGGAGGCAGTGGTGTAGTGGTAATGTCACTGGACTAGTAATCCAGAACCCCACGTTAGTGTTTCGGGTACATGCGTTCAAATCCTACCATGGCAGATGGAGAAATCTGAATTCAGTTTTTAAAAAATGTGAAATTAAAAAGGGCCAGCCTAATGATGACCATGTTACCACTGTCAAAAACTCATCAAGATACATCAAATCCAATCTGCTACGTTATACTAATTCAAATTATTCCAATTCCCGTACCATAATTCCTTATGACCTCTCTGAAAGGAGGTGCTAAATTGCCAAATTATAGACTGTCATTGTTGGGAGCAACTGGTGGGCTGACACTGCCAAAGTCACACAATGAAAGGCCGCAGGGAGGACAGCGTTATATACAGTCTGCACTAACTTCAAAGTCAGCTCTGTGAGCTGAAAAGACAGCCAATGTATCATTCAAAACACCTGCTATCTTCAAATTTAACAAGTTTCTTTCTGATGTCTTCTGATGAATTGCAGTCTGAATCAACACATTTTATCACAAATCTTTCCTGTCAGCTAGAATTTCACATCAGCAGAAATGATCTATAACTACCAAATTGCAAAATCGTGGTGAGATTTACTAAAAACCATAATCAGTGGGGTTCAAATTTTGCTGGTGCTCTGGTCAGTCTGAAGTAATCTCATGCTGATCTCTTTGGGTGCATTTAAACTATGAGAGGACTGATGCTGCAGTTCTGGTATATTTGCAGGTTGCATCTGGTTCTGACTTTGGATTAAAGCAGAGTTAAATTTCCTGGAGGAAGTAGCAGCATTCCAGTTCAGTTCATACTCAGGTTTAAAGGCCATCAAGTATATGACTACAAAGTGGTCTGGTTTTATATCAAAAACAAACAGGTAAGGCGTGAATGCACTAGGCAATAATTCACTCCTACTGAGCATAAACCATCCCTTCAAAAGCTGTGAAACATATTGGCCCTTTCACTTTAATGTTCCTGATATAGAACAATAATGCAATGTATAATTTTTAAAGACTCACTCTTCATTATTTCATGCTATTGCTGGTTATCAGAGCATGGTGGTATAATACTTACATAACTGTACAAGTTACCCTTAGACAATTATATTGAACAAAGGTCTTTTATAATTCAAAACCTGGATACAATGCTGATTATCAGCAGGTTAAAATTACAATAAAGGGGTTGAATTCCTTGATGTAATAAGGCTGTCCAGCATTGTGTGACGAAGGACTGCTTATTACAGGAGCTGCTCAAATTTAAGCACTAAACAGTTTTGGTTGTTCATTATGAGATAGCTAGTATACTATTATCCAGTAATCATTTTACATGAGAGATCCAGGGCTAGACGACAGTTGAAACTCACAATGAAAATTACAAATTTATCTTTTTTATTCACTTGTGGAATGTCACTGTCTGGGCCAGCATTTAATGCCTGTCCCTAGTTGCCCTTAAGAAGGTGGTAGTGAGCTGCCCTTTTGAACCACTGCATTTTATGTGCTGTAGATGGATCCACGAGTTCCAGGATTCTGACCCAGTGACAGTGAAGGAACGGCGACATATTTCCATGTCAGGATGGTGAGTGGCTTGGATGGAAACCTGAAGATGGTGGTGTTCCCACGTATCTGTAGCCTAGTCCTTCTAGATGGAAGTGGCTGTGGGTTACAATGTGCTGCCTAAGGATCTTTGGTGAATTTGTAGACATTACACACCGCTGGTACTGAACATTGCTGTAAGAGGGAGTGAATGTTTGTAGATGTGAAGCCAGTCAAGTGGACTGTTTTGCTTTGGATGGTGTCAAGCTTGAGTGTTGTTGGAGCTGGATCCATCCAGACAAGTGAAGAGTATTCCATCACACTCCTGACTTGTACCTTGTAGACAGTGTTCAGGCTTTAGGGGAGTCAGGAAGTGAGTTACATCACACAGTATTCTTAGCCTCTGACCTGCTCTTATAGCTAGTGTATTTATCTAGCTAATTCAGTTCAATTTGTGGTCAATGTAATCCCTAGGACGTTGATAGTGTGGGATTCAGTGAATCAGTGCCATTGAATCTCATGGGGCAATGGTTAGACTCTCTTATTTGAGATGATTGTGCCACACAAATACCAGGCTACAAATGTTACTTACCACTTCTCATTCCAAGCCTGGATACTGTCCAGATCTTGTGGCATTTGGATGTGGACTGCTTCAGTATCTGAGAAGTCACGAATGGTGAACATTGTGCAATCATTGGCGAACATCCCCACTTCTGACCTTATGATGGAGGGAAGGTCATTCATAAAGCAGCTGAAGATGTTTGGGCCGAGGACACGACCCTGAGGAAATCCTGCAGAGATGTCCTGGAGCTGAGACGACTGACCTCCAACAACCACAATCATCTTCCCATGTGCCAGGTATGACTCCAACCACTGGAGAGTTTGCCCCCAATACCCATTGATTCCAGTTTTGCTACAGCTCCTTGATGCCACACTCGGTCGAATGCAGCCTTGATAACAAGGGCTGTCAATCTCACCTCACCTCTGGAATTCAGCTCTTTTGTCCATGTTTGCACCAAGACTGTAATGAGGTCAGGAGCTGAGTGGCCCTGGCAGAACCCAAACTGGGCGTCACTGAGCAGGTTATTGCTGAGCAGGTGCTGCTTGATAGCACTGTTACTGACACCTTCCATCACTTTACTGATGATCAGGGTAGACTGATGGGGCAATTAGTGGCTGGGTTGGATTTGTTCTGTGTTTTATGCAAAGGACATACTTGGGCAATTTTCCACATTGCCAGATAGATGCCAGTGTTGTACCTATACTGGAACAGCTTGGCTAGAGGAGCAGCAGGTTTTGGAGCACAAGTCTTCGGTACTATTGCCGAAATGTTGTCAGGACTCATAGTCTTTGCAGTATCCAGGATTGCCAACTGTTCATTGATATCATGTAGAGTGAATCAATGGCTGAAGACTAGTAGCTGTAATGCTTGGGACCACTGGAGGAGGCCGAGATGGATCATCCACTCTGTACGTCTGGCTGAAGATTGTTGCGAACAATTTATCCTTTGAATGTGCTGCAAAACAATCCCATCCGACACCAGTGGAGGCTTGAGGAATTCCCCAGAGTGTTACCTGATGAGAGTTTGTGGTTGTGATGAGAGTTTGGCTGATTTCAGATATTGCATTTGAGTGTCTACAGTGGTTTTGTAAATCCCAGATGGCGTACACTCAGCAGCACCAGGAGGGCCAAGTGCCTGCTAGTGGTGCAATGCTATGCTCTAAGTACCTGCTTCTTGTCTGAACTCGCAAAGGGACAGAGACTGGGGGCTAGGGGAAAGCCCACCCACTCACTCACTGCTTCTGAAAACTTGCACACCTTCCTACAAAATCACAACAGGCTGGAGGATACTGGGTAGACTCTAGACCAGGATAAAAAAAAACACACACACACACACGTGGCTGGACAAAAACAAGGGGACTGCTCAATGACAAAATTGACCATGCATAGTAAGTAAATTTTAAGGCAAACATTGAAACAGTACAGAGCAAAATCACCTGAAATAAATTATGACAAAGGATAGTACAGATTCAATATGTAGTTGAAAAGTCCCTTGACCACATGGCTAACATGCAAGTACGGATAATTATACTAAACACGTAACCAGTAGCTACAGGACAAAGAAAACAAAACAAAGTATCAGTGGCTACATGCAAGTCCAGGAGGTTTCAAGTTACTCACCACAATCAAACGGTCCATCACATTTTTACAAGTCTGCAGGTTTGTGGAACTGGTTACTTCCAAGAACAGCTGACTGGTGGTTTTTCTAATCTAAAGACAAGATGAAGTATTATAAAGCAACATGAAAAATACAACAGTGGGGAAATAAAAAATTTGAGGGAAGCTCTCAGGCCCAAATATTAGTCTTTTTTTTTTAACGGCTACTGATTGTGTTGCTGTGATTTTCCAACATTGTTTAGTTTTCCAAATAAGAATATATGTCAGTATAGATCACATTCCATGCAGAAATTAGAAGGCATCAAAACAACTGCCTCTTTACTCTCAGAGCATTGAACAGTGCAGTAACGTATTCAAACATTTTCTTTCAGAAACAAGGCGTGCATTTGTAAAGCCCTTTTCACAATCCCAGGACATCCCAACTTGCTTTACAATCAATGAAATATTTTTGAATTTACTCACGGTCATAATGCAGTAAAGACAGCAGCCAATCTGTAAACAGTAAGCGCCCGCAATGTGATAAGTATGAAATTATCTGCTTTAGTGATATTGATTGGGGGATAAATACTGGTCGGGACACCAGGATAGCTTCACTGCCCTTCAAAATAGTGCCATGGATCTTTCATATCTAACTGAGGCGGCCTCGGTTTAACCTGCCATCCAAAAGACAGTGTTCTAACAACGCAGCACTCCCTCAGTACTGCACTGAGGAGTCAGCTTTGAATTGGTTGTTGAATTGGTTGTTGAATTCCTGGACTGATAAATTGAACCCACTATTTCTGACTTAAAGATGAGCGTGCTACCAAGTGAACTACAGCTGACACTAAATATTTAGACAAATTTTCCTCAAAATTCAAGTATTTTATAAGAACATTTCACTCAGCTTTCCCAATAGTTTATCACGAACACAGAATGAACCAGATCGGTGGGGAAAGAGCCTGGTTTAATTAACTGTGACAATAAGTTAATCTATCTCCAGAGGGTAGTGATAGAAGAACAAAAACGGATTTCAATGCCTAAATTATGACAGAGCTGATAATCTTTTGACCAGGTTACCTACCTCTGATTATCATGTTGCATTCAGCTCAAAGGGGATCTGCATGTGGCTTTTCGATGGAGACAACGACTGAGCTGAGATGCAATACACTACCAGACTGTTTTAGTTTAATAACACTCTTTAAAGAGCATGTATGAGGGATCGCTCTGTTCACGTACCACAAGGTGACTGAAATCAGTCAACTTGTTGTACAGCATGGCTAGATAGTCTTCAGGAATGAAGGGGAGCAAAGTAGCATTTTGTAAAACAGAGCAGAAACGTCATTTAATCATTCCATTCCATTAAAAAGTGAGAAGCAGCAGCAAGTTGTACTTCACTAGTACCTTCTACAGTCAGCAATGGTTTAATGTCTTCACAACTGAACATAAAACAACCTTTGTGTTTCATTACTTTGCTTGTGCCAATCACATTAAGCAGCATTAAGTGTCCGGGAACAGAACACTTCTCGTGTGCCAAGATTGAGGACCACCATTGAGGCACAGCACACTCTTTCCTAACCAAACACTGTGTCTCAGCACAATCACAGGAGAAAATTCCAACCACTTCAGCATGAAACCTCTTCATTTCCTACATCAGTCATCTCTCTGAGTAAGAGTACAACACTGACAGACTAATCTTCTTCTGCGATACTTCTGCAATGGTCACACTTTAGAAGAGGGCTCCCCTGGAACAGGGAGGTGGAAGTCTTCAGATCAGTGACTGACCGAGCGGGAATGGCCTGGTCAGTTTTGTTACATTGACTGTGGCCAGGGGGTGACCAGTTCATTGATTATATCTCCCTGCTTTCCCCTCTCATACATCAACACTTTGGACAGCTCTAGACCTGCTACCCTATGGTGTAGGAAATGAGCCATTGTGTTGGAGTCATTACCACTCATTTGGGCTGGAATATTTCTGCATAAGTATAGGCTGCACCGGTGAAAGCAGTCAAACTCTTAGACATAGAGCTTTCTGAAGCAAAGGAAGTAGAGGATTTCAAGAATGGCCGAGAATCTGCTGATGGATTGTCTCAAACTGGTATCGTAGAGCTCCCAGAATATTCTGAATTTTACCTCATCGACATCCTCCTCATTCACTACCAACGTCTGATAAATGTGGTGATGTTTTTGGAGGACACATCACTACATTATAGATCCATTAGTGCTGACTGAACTGGGGAAGGGACATGAAGATCTCAGAGTCACTATTTTCCCTTCTTTCTTTATTCTATTTGGAAGTGACGTTGGCAATACTCCACGGTGACATGGGTTGTGGTATTGTTGATGTATTTGTCCTTTTTCTTAGTTTGGTTACGCAAAGCAATCATATCTACTTCAAATTACCAGAAGGACACCAAAAACATATTGAGCATTGAGTAGTAGCTTTGTGTCATTACTCCAGTGCCATCCAAACAAATTAAAACTGTACAAATTCACTTCATTAAAGCTCTCTAAAAAGCTAACACATAGGGATTCATTAGGATACCGTACAGGCTAGCTTTGAACTCGGGTCCTAGTGAACAGTGAACAAATATCTAATCTATAGCTCACTGATGCCTATAAATATTCTCAACTTCATGACAGATCTACACACAAGAACAATGAAGTATAATAAATGAGAAAAGTAAAATTCACTTTGCTTACGGTATGTGACTTGTCAAAACTTTTCGTGGTCTCTGCAGGACTGTACAGACTTAATGGAAACGTAACTATGACTCATTTTGACCTCTTGCAAGGAGCTAAGGCTAATTATTAACCTACCTTTGTTTTGTCGCTGTTTGTGATTGGTGGGAATGAAATTACATGATCTTCCGCATCGACTAAACAAGGAAAATTTTCCTTTCCGTTAAGTAACTGGAGATATCTGGAAAACAGAGGGATACCGGAATACGCAAGCTTCATGACTAGTGTGTGACCAGGAAATTATTTACCATACATCATATGAATGAATACACACATGATAATGCTGTAATTCTACATTAAAGTCTCTACTTTTTAATAATACTTGTAAATTGATCTTTGGCCATGCACTTTCTAATATGCTGGCAAATTATCATTACATATTTTGTGGTATAATTTATGTCAAAGTCTATGACTTGCTAATGGCTATTACCATTTTAATGTTCTTTTAACTCTAACATCCATCAGGAATTCTGTGCATAAGAATTTGTTGAAGACAGGATGAATTCAAATCGCAATGTTCCCCATCATCCAATTCCCTGTCAATACTGAACAATGGATTTGATGATTTAGCATTGACTGCTAAATGTGATCCAATTAACTTACCTGCTAACATCATTTTAAGGCGAGAATCATACAGCAGAATTCAAGAGGCACCTGGACAAATACATGAAGAAGAAGGGAATAGAGGGATACTGATCCTGAACACTCTTTTAGTGTGGAAGGGCAAAATGTGGCAGCACAGGTTTGGAGGGCCGAAGGGCCTGTTCTTGTGCTGTATTGTTCTTTGTTCTAACTCATTTATTATAACAGCACAGAAAGAGGCCATTCAGCACATCATATCCATGCCAGTCATAAAGCACCTATCTACTCTAATTCCATTTTCCAGCACTTGGTCCATATCCTTGTATAATATGGCACTTCAGAAAGAAGCAATTAATTTAAATTTTTTAAAATGCTGTTATGGTTTCTGCCTCTACTGTCTTTTCATGTAGTAATTCCAGGTGCCCATCATGCTGGGTGAAAAAAAATTTCCTCAAATCTCCTCTAAACCTTCCGCCCTTTTAAATTTTAAATCTATGCCCCCTGGTAACTGACCTCTCCACTAAGACGAACAGTTTATTCCCATCGATTCTATCTAAGCCATTCGATTTTCTAAACCTCAATCAGTTCTCCCCTCAGCCTTCTCTGCTCCAATGAAAACAACCCCAGCTTATCTGGGACAACAAGGTGCAGGGCTGGATGAACACAGCAGGCCAAGCAGCATCATAGGAGCAGGAAGGCTGACGTTTTGGGCCTACACCCTTCATCAGAAAAGGGGGAGGGCAAGGGCGTTCTGAAATAAATAGGGAGAGAGTGGGAGGCGGATAGAAGATGGATAGGTGGAGAGGAAACAGACAGGTCGAAGAGGCGGGGATGGAGGCAGTAAAGGTGAGTGTAGGTGGGGAGTTAGGGAGGGGATAGGTCAGTCCAGGCAGGACGGACAGGTCAAGGGGGCGGGATGAGGTTAGTCGGTAGGAGATTGGGGGTGCGGCTTGAGGTGGGAGGAGGGGATAGGTGGGAGGAAGAACAGGTTAGGGAGGCGGGGACGAGCTGGACTGGTTTTGGGATGCCGTGGGGGGAGGGGAGATTTTGAAGCTTGTGAAATCCACATTGATACCATTGGGCTGCAAGGTTCCCAAGCGGAATATGAGTTGCTGTTCCTGCAACCTTCGGGTGGCATCGTTGTGGCACTGCAGGAGGCCCAGGATGGACATGTCGTCTGAGGAATGGGAGGGGGAGTTGAAATGGCTCGCGACTGGGAGGTGCAGTTGTTTATTGCGAACCGAGCGTAGGTGTTCTGCAAAGCGGTCCCCGAGCCTCCGCTTGGTTTCCCCGATGTAGAGAAAGCCACACCGGGTACAGCGGATGCAGTATACCACATTGGCAGATGTGCAGGTGAACATCTGCTTGATGTGGAAAGTCTTCTTGGGGCCTGGGATGGGGGTGAGGGAGGAGGTATGGGGGCAGGTGTAGCACTTCCTGCGGTTGCAGGGAAAAGTGC